GTCATCTTCTCCCAAACAGAAAACATCCACGAGTTCAGGAAAGCAACTCTCATACGCTGGTGTCCTACTCTTGACCGGATTAAGGGTGGGTGAAGCACTAATAGAGGATGCGGTGTCCAATGCGTGSTCGCGCGAGGAGRGCCACCATTGCCAAAAGGCAGATACTGTGCCAAAACAGCCAGAAGGAAGAAGCAATCAAACCCAAAATACATGGGAAYGGAAGAGTAGGGGGGGCAATCGTGCAAACYRCCACCGRCTGGGAACAAGCAGACCATACAGYTGCAAGGACTAGACCGGCAGAGAGGAGCAAGAAGATGGTGGAGAAAAGGAGGGGGAAGCAGAGGAAAAGTGCGGGYAGAAGSGGCRCAGGGCCCGCCGCCACCTCCATCTTGRAAAAGAAACGAAGCGCAGAAGCAGCCACCCTCGTAGAGCTCTCACCCCAAACTATGCRAATCAACCACTGACCAAGMCCTCAAACCTTAYACCATTTCAAGGGAGGGGAAACGRCCGACRAGTYACGSGAGCATCCASKAGTCTGAAACGAGCGAAAYRCTTGGAGATCGAGGAACGATAARAACGMCAAATACKCCATGAAAGYYAKAATGAAGAYGAACGCCAGATSAGMAGCTACTAGAAGCTCCATTCCGAAGCTGCGCTCCTAGTCRAATCTTAAGGGCGATGCGTAARGAAGTGCCWAGGACGAACACATCATCGGACAACACGCACGRCAATCATACATAAACAGCAAAAGAAGATTCAGCACCCGGAAGGCTCATCATGACRAAACAAAAGGGAGAGGGAAGGAGAGAGAGAGAGAGAAGGTCCCAATTTGGTCTAGCGGCTCCAATGCGYCGTTGAATGCAGAGAGGGTGAYGRACGCGCTCTTAAGTACTTTTCACCGATTTCCATCCCATCGGATCTTCAGAGAACTAAACCTCCCCCATGTCACACCAAAAGGGACAAGAACCCTGATCGGGCATGGCCCGGGTTCCAATAAGACAAGGAGACAGGTCATGSGTCATAAAAACAGGGGGGGRAAAACAAYAGCCACATAGGGAAGTACAGTAGAATGTGCAGGGGGGGAAGGGATGGGGGGAGGGGGGAGGGACAACCAAGTACRCRTCGCATTACCGTGCCCGGTGCCATGGCGCRCCGATGCTCAACACACAACTCTYGTGCCAYGCTCGACGCTCCGACRGTAGGCAATAAGACAAGCAACTCAGCCCGGACCTCTGGTCGCGCCCCAATCCGCCAGACACGAAGCTACTCCTAGGCTGGCGACGTAGCAAGCGGTCAGGTGCAGAACGCACAAACGCAAAGATGGGCCTCCTCCGAGAYACYAGAACGCKGATCCAGGCGATGGAAACAGCTGCGGCGATCATAGAACACCTTGGGAAGGAGATACGACTGCGCTAGGGCAGGGAAGCCATAGTCGGAGAAGCACCGAGTGGCATCACCGTGCCGAACCACCGGCGCTCAAAACGGCGCCAACCAGGTCAGGTACGCGAGGCCACCCAACGCTTCGTCCGATGGCACAATGATGAGAGGAGGAATAGGAGGGCCGGGTAGGTTAAATACCGTGGAGGAGAACAGGACCTGCCTCCACCGCGATTCAAGGAGCTGGGGCGGGGGACGAGTCGGCAATCCGACGGACCGACGGTTGGAGGGTCCGAGGGCCTAATAGTACCCGTAAGGGGTCGCGCCTGTACTCCATCGTGGCATAGCGGGGTTCAAGAAGACCCTTAAAGGGCCCGAAAGACTTTCCAAAGACCTGGCCAGAATTTTTTTCTTTTCTTTTATAACAATGGGGTTTCTTATAAGGGGGGAACTCCTCGAAAAAAATCATGGGGACAACGTAGGCTTGTTCATGTATGAATGTGTGTGTGTGTGTGTGTGTGTGTGTGTGGCCCTCCCCTTCCCCGTCAGGGGTAGCATGCTAAGGCAGGTAGTAGGTACCTGCCTTAAGCAGGGTACCCACTGACTACCTCAGCAGCCTTACCGGTAGAGGCCAGCCAAGAACACACCCACCCACTCATCACACCACTCGTCATAGATAGGATAGGGGGAGAGAGGGGGGAGTGGGGTGCGTGTGGGGTGAGAGAAAAAAAAGACAGATACTTACGAGAAATTCCCTCCTCGTTGCTTCGATCTCCGCCCTGGGGGGAAGAAAATCTTTGGGGGAGTTAAGGACACGATTTACACAGGTTAAGCACCCGCAAAGCGAGAATCCATTGTCAACCATGAAGGTAACAATCCTCAGGATTTCCTTGGCAGTGTCCCCGGGTTGGGTACACAAGACCAGGACAGTCGCGACTTGTGCCAAAATGATATTCAATGATTGTTGGGTGGGTCTATTGGAGGCAAACTTGACATATCTCACCACCGGGAAATCCAGGGAAAGTCTCTTATCAAACTTGGTGGTGTAGAAGGACCCCTCCGAATCCGATGTGACTGCAATCTCAACATTTACGAACTGGGACTTAAGCCCATAGATTTCCCCTGTGTTGGACAATTCGAAAACCTCAGTCTGATTCCTAATTCCGATCCTAATTCCGATAAGGTGACGCAGGTAAAGGGAGAAGATTTCATCATCGTTACCCTCCGTGGGTCCGTTTAAGAATTTCAGGATCAGAGGGTTGTTGAGGGCATGAAGATCATCAATGTATCTGAACGTGTGTTCAAAGAGTGAGAGGAGTGCGAATGCTCTCCTATCTATCAGCCTCATGACCAAACCATATTCATACTTGAAAAAATATACAGTGCACCATACAGGGGAGCAGGGAAGTCCCATGGGGATCCCGGCTGTCTGCCTCCAAAAAATTTTGCCAAAGGATGTGAAGCAGCGGGCCACTAACCAATTGGTGAGAGCAATAACCTCATTATAATCAAGCCAAAATACCGAGGAAGGGAAGGAACCCGATCTCCCTTTGTGCATAGAGCAGACGAAAGACCCATCGCGACATCCTCTGCATTTGACGAATTGACCAAGGTTCCTAGAGGATGCTGTTTTGAATGCAAGTTTCACAAAGAAAACTACCACAGCGGACAAGCTATCTTCGGATGAGTCTATCGGGATCGTTTCAAAGCACCGAGTAATGTCTGCTGAGAACACAGAAAAAACCTTTTTCGGGAGGTTAAAACAGTAATCCTGGACTGAGGCTATGACCCACCAGATAGAGGTTTGAACCCCATGGAACCTTTTCAATCCGTCTGTGATCTCCTTACAGTGGGACATCACAAGGGGGGTGAGACATTTCAGGACGGCATCGCACAGGCGGGCCACGGGGGTAAGGAAGGAGAAAGAGGCATTCGTAAGCCACCGGAAAGCACACTTGTGATGTTTGTAAAGTGCCATAAGATACGGGACCTTCCTCGGGCCGATGGCCACCGAGGGAAGGAGAGAAGCAAGGGAAGACTCCGCTTCCCCAATGATATCCCATCCGGTTATCTGCAGGGCTTCAAAATCATCACTTCTCAATCTCTCGAGCGCAAGCTTTCTCACGAGATGGACACACGTAAAGGATGGAGTATTAGCCGACTTGTCCGTTCCTGCAATGTACACACGCTTCGAGAGGAATTCCACTTCGTGCTTGAACGCATGCGTGTTAGTAACATATGGGGGGTCATGATGTCTCACCAGAGTTTGCAAGCCAAGCTGATCCTTAAGCTGTGCTGATACAAAAGCAGACGCTTCGTTTTGCATAGCTTTAGTGATGTGCATTCGGTTGCAAAAAAAAGCCATCACAGAGTGCCAAGCCTTCAAAAACTCACGGAAGGCTGTATGTGGGACGGGAGGGTGCAATGGGATGTGATTCAAGCCCTAGGAGAGGAGGTGCTTCAATTTCGGATGCGAGGAGATACCCAGGTCAAGCGAAAGGATGTGTGTGGAGGGGGAAGAAAAAGGTTGGGCCATTTCCACAGTGCATGAGTGGTGGAAGGGTAAGAAGCGTTTCGTGAGGCATAAGCACGTATCAAACCCCTCGCAAAATTGCAGCCATTCCCCTAACACAAAATCACGAAATACAGAAGCAGGCTTATACACAATGGATTCCAGCGTATTCAAATATGTCCATCCAATCACGACCRCCGCAAGAAGCTCCTTGGCTGCTGGTGGAAAAAACTGATCAACARCGAGTTCGAGGATAGATCTGAAGMGAACATGCKCCATGATCCTGCTTGTATACAAGATGTGAACAAAAAAATTCTTATCCTGCGAAGGCACCTTTTGCCAAACATTGCGACCAGAGGGGCCACGAGACATGATCCCTCCCAGAACACAAKCATCCTGCACACAYRGCGACGAAAAACATRCATCCTACAAAGTCRGCCTCYAAACAATGAAATCTTAGCCAAACCCAGTCCCCKCRGRCTCCTCCTCAATGGTCTACTARAAATGGAAGGCTGGGCATCCTCCTRGGTCGTGACAGTARATGATGGTGGAGTGGCAATCTCCGATTGGGGAGGGTTCTCCTGAGCATGTGCCGGGACGTCCCCTTGTGCGGGGGGGACATAGAACTCCAGGATGGTCTGCTGCGGCCTCCTTGTCCTCTTTGCCGCCGAAGATGACGCAGCCTCGACCCTCCTCTTCTCCTTCGCCTTCACATAACGAGCCGGAAGGATGAGCTTGGCCATGGTTCTAGGAAACTTGTGCAACATGATGGCAGGGTCGTCCAAAATGTTCGCCGCGGTCCTGGTTGGGTCTATGGCCACATTGTAGGCCATCCTCACCATTACGTCCCTCATATGTGTGAACACGACATAGGCAAGGATGGCAGCCCGCCACGTGGTCTTCGACCTGACCATGAATGCTCGTGCTCTAGCTCTAAGCTCTAAGCGCGCCAAGAGATACCACAGGACATGATCCAGCCATGATATATTCTTACCACAATCGCCCTTCCCTTCCGCGACACACTGACACTTGAGGTACGACTGACCTACGTTCCAGATGCGCTTCAGTTCCGCTATGGCTGTCTGCTGTTTCGGTGCCATGAACCCTCTAATCGCTAAGGCAGAAGGAGACACAGTACACTTGGTACGGTCAAAATCACCAATGGTCGGGAGCTTCATCATGTCAGGAGTAAGTGGGTAATTGCCCTTAATCAGGTCGATGTTCTCCATGAGTGCCTTCTCATTGCACTTCTTCATCTTGTCCTCCGTAAGTGACGCTAAAAACCGATAGGAGTCAGCGTGGATGGGGGCAAGGTAGTTGAAGGTATAGAGGTCCCTGAGCTTGTCGTCCACGGATCTAGACTGCGAATCAATCCATCTAGGTGGAACAATGGGAAGGAAGGCATTGCGGACATACTTATTAACGCTAGACTTCTGATTAGCAGTGACCGCCTTCATTCTATCCCTCTTCCCCTCCGCCACCAGTTTAGCGTGGTATACTTTCTCCTCTTCCGTTAAGGGGAGTGAGTCCTCATCATCCTCATCCTCATCTTCATCCACACCAACGCCACCTTCCACAGATGCTAGGGTTTCCTGAGTCAGACCCGCAAGAAAATTGGACTCAACTCCAAACAACTCAACAAACACTTTCTCCTTCATAGCCACCTTCGTATCAACACACATCGACACTAGCTCGTCCTCACTGGCAATCTCCTTCGCCTGCGTAACTACATACTTAGTGAGGTTCAGGAAAGCTGGCTTGTCATTCACCGCATTCCAGAGTAGGTCAGCCCAAAGATCAAAGGAGAGAATCGAGATCAGGGGGAGGTTAACCCCTTTCGAGTGCAAACGGACAAACTCCAAGATCCTAAGGGAGGCAAGTGAGATAAGAGCCTGTGTCGAGCGGGATGGGGCAGGGAACGCATCGAGCCATTCCGAGCCCCCTTCCAATAGATCGGTGTACCATCCATTCTCCGAGAAAGAGGGGACCTGCCACAAGGAGGGCAATACACAGGGTGAGGCGTATGCACACCATAGGTCACATACATCGAATGGACATGGGACGAAAAAAGCCTTTGAAAAAACCATCATAGCTAAGCTACTCACAAGATCCATACATAAACTCGCAAGGGTGTCAAAAAGCATGTTAATGGCAACAACATGACGACGGGGATTCTGACCCCCTCGYAAGCAAAACGAGACAAGTCCCTGCGTGTGTTATGTTTTGTGTTACGTGGCTCCTGTGACCGTGTCACAGCATGTTGCGCCATAGGTTGAGGCAAAAAAGAACAACACCCGTCGGAAATGAGTCACATAGCATCAAGGAGTGTGCCAGGCATAATGATAGTAATGCGATTGGACGACAACCAAGGCCAGGGAACGTTCCATTTACCATATAAATGATACACGAAAACCATGGTCAATACACAAATCTCACTCAGGGCAAGGCCAAACAGACGCACAGTGAACAGGTCAATACTCTTACGAAGAGAATGAAGAACCTTAATCCAATCACC